ATTTGATGGCACAGATTTCACAACCTTGACTAAATGTTAATGACAACCTCAGAATTTGACAACCTAATGTTTAAATTGCCCCAAATTTTGAGAACACTGGTAAAATGGCAATAATATAGCACCTAGCTTGGCTTAATGTCATAGAACTATGACTTACTGTACCTTGGTTAATGTCATGACATCATATATTTTAATAATAAAATTTAGCCACAGAAGGAAGTAGTTTTTTTAACATTAAAATCAAAATTTGCATGTTCAGCAGAAATGTGATATTCGCCTCCGACCATATAGTACATACACTGAATACCAGACCTGAGTTCACACTTTTTCTTATAACTTTTCTACAACAGAAGGAAAATCAAAGAATCTAAAGATGACTAATTTCAAGTTTTTATTTTTTTTTCACACACAGAAAGAGAAAAAAGCCATTGAGGTATTTATACTACATGCATATAAAAGTGATTTCAACTTCATTCACATAGAGAATATATATATATTATATATATTTAGATGTACAGATTAGCTCCTATGCTTCACAGATCATACTCCAGGTTTTTATGTCATAGATGAGTATCTTTAAAGACCTAGATCTATATACTTAATTACAAGTTGTTTTTTATCAATGTTCAGTTTAAATTTTGTATCATTTAATGCACATTTTGTTAAAGAGAAACTTGGGCTGTCTGAGGAAAATGTAATTGTTGAGATGGGAATATACATACATAATAACATTATATACACACATATCACTAATTGATTAAAATCATATTGTAAATTTACATGAAATCTTAAGTAATACAAATTTAAGCAAAAGGCTGCAGACTTCCCCACTGTTGGTTCAAATCCAGCTGAAGACATCAGATTCTTTCATGGGAGGATAGTCGAAATATATTAACATGCCAAAGCTTGACTCTGAGATAATTTTCGTTCTGGGGCAGAATCTCGCTTTTAAGAGGCAAGATATTGCCCAGACATGAAAATAGCACAACATCTTGTTGTGCAGTACAATAAGTTGGACTAATGTGAGGAGTACTTCCTCATAGCTAAAAAGTCCTCGTATAGTCTATGCAGTGTGTTGGTGTCACTAAAAAACAAATCATGCTTCAAATGACGTCATATCTGCTAAAGTTCAATGAATGAAATGCCTGCATAGGATGATGTCATTTCATCGTTATGAATGAAGTTGTAATGCTTAATAAATCATACTATATATATATATACTATATGAAAATGTATTGAATGAGAATACAAAATTGTATCAGTTTTCTTAATTTGAAATATGATTTACATTGAAATAATTGCAAGAATCAAACACTAGCTGTCATAACAGACTGGGAATATCTAGCTCTCTGGTAATTGTTTAGTAAAACAACTTGGTGGCCAGCCTCATTAACCCCTAAGTAAGCGATTAACCCCTGTACTAGTATCTCCAGCTATACAGACATAAATTTTATAACTATAATAATCATCTACCACAAATTAAACACTTTGAAAAAGAAAAAGAAAAAAATCCCAAAAAGCAAAGCATCAAAAATTTAATATAAGGGCATGGCTGGTCTTTAACTTTTTATAAAATCGCCTACATAGCAATATAAATATATTGTATATATTTATACCTAATTCTTCCCTTTTACTTATCACCTCAGGTGTCCCATTTTTTACTGAAACTTAATCTGTCCCAAACGAGCATCATCAAAAAAAAAGAATTGAAACCATCTTTCTAAAGAAACAAGAAAAATTGCGGTGAGAAAATAAATTTTTCATTTTGTTGAATTTTTATTTCCACTTTGACACTCCTCTTTGATCTTCTAATGCGAAGGGTTAAAATTCAAAGTAGGCCGTTGCTCCCCTTTCAAATACCAGTAGGTTTATTATTTCAAAGTCTTTTTTTTTATAATAATTGATTCGGACACTAACCCATCGACCTTTTGTTAAATAATTGACTTTCGACACTGACCTTTAAGCCTTAAGACCTTTTTTTTTCCGAATGATTTCAAATGATAATTTCATGGGTGTTCTCTGTGGATTCACATGAAAAAGTTCTTTTTAAAGAACTTCTAAAATACCTATAATTAAATGACATTAGCATAAAGTCTTTGCCTTAAATGGCGAGTTGGTTAAGTGCAAAAGCTGGCAAAATGAATTTTCTGTATTTTTACTAGTTCAGTCTTAAGTAAGGTATAATTAATATAGAACTAATATAATATTATGACTCAGCTATTCTTAACATATTGTTAGCATCACAATCTCCTTTGATTTTTGCTTTTTTCTTCTTAATACTTTTTTTTATTTAATCAAATAACCACTTAATGTCCAAGCGAATTTCAACTCAAAATGTTACTGATGTATTTTGACCATTTAAACTTTATGTGAAGTTTATATCATTATCTCCATCAAACAGAAACAGTGTCATAAGGGAAACTTGCAATTTCTTTTCTTTTTTTAAGGATAAAGTAACAGCTACTGATAAACAGTTTTATTTTAGCAACAGGTTCTTTAAACGAATGCCTCTTGTGTTAAAAAACTTAAGTCAAAACCACCTCACCTGCTGGAGCTATGAGATGCAAATTATTATAAAGACTCAAGTAACTCAAACCCCTTTAGTTACTTCTTAATAAATGGTGGCTGCTGCACCTGATGCCTTACAACCCTTAAAGGCAGCCCTTCAGCAACAAGGGGTATTTTTACTTGAAATTTTTTATAGTGACTCCAAACAATTTTGTGACATTCAGATGATTTTTTTTAAAATATTATGATAAAGCCTTATAGTTCATCAAACAGCTGGACAGGGAAATCTTTACTGACATCCTATGACATTTGTGCATCATATTTACTCAACAAACACCTTGAATGACGTAAACTTAATTCAAAGCAACGATTTTAATATGGAACATATTTTGATATTTTAATGGCTCACTGCATATTTCAATAAAACTTTCCCATTTTATAATCAACTAAAGTCCACCATCAAAGACGCATTCTGGTCATTTAAAGAATTATGATATAAAACAATTACTAGACTATATTAAACTTATATTGAGCATCTTGGATTAATTTACTGGTCATGGCCTGACAGCCACTGCTCATTTATTTTCTCTATAATCTAAATCATATCAAAGGGCTTATCAGCACTGGGTGTTGTAATGTTTATGTTATTGATAGCCCTGTGCATGATGTGACCTGTGTAAATAGAAAGTAAACTTTGCATTACTGATACTGTTGAATTTACACAACAGTTTGGATCTGATTTACATTTAGAATTGACGTTCATGCAAGATCACAGTCCATTAGTTACTTTAAAAGGGTTTTCAATAGATGTTATCCAAAACTAAGTGAATGTAGGTAACCTGCTACCCCTCCCCCCTGGACCCTACCCGCCCCACCATACCAAACTTTCCATTATAGCTTCATGGTGCTATGTTGTTCACAGTTACTTAATCAATACATTAATTTTCACTTATCACTGATCTATTTACCAAACTGTAACAGTTTTTGTAGGGAAAAACTATCTCAATATGCTTACGGTAAGTCAAATTTGGGCAATAAAAACCTTGAAGGACATGCAGGTAAATTGGCCTGGCTATTTTCTAATGGCAAGGCGTACAATCATTGCATTGCCTTAAGCATTCAAAGATTCAGCCGAAGTATCAGGCCATTAGATAACATGTATTTCTATGACCTTGACATTAATCAGAAAAACCAAAAGTCTAATGCAGTCCAATATCTATTAAAATTTAAATTACCAAGAAGTTAAACAAAAGGTCTGTAAATATATCAAAGACAAATTGTTATTATATCATATTCACTTATCAGTGGGTGTAAATACATCAAAGACAAATTATTGTTATGTCATATTCACTTATCAGTATTACAAATTTCTTTGATATTGTTCGGTTATTATATAACCCGTTATTATATAACCTTGATGTTTATACGCCATGTAATTAACCATGCAACTTAACTTTTAGATTGATTATAATCACGCATGTTCTAAAAATATCATTAAAACAATAACAAGAGGTGGAGAGGTTCCTAAAAAATATCTTCATGAGTAAACACTTAAATATGCAAAGGCTTCCACCCAAGTTAAGGCCAACGGCACTTGACAAATTTAAAAGTTCAATAATTTGTACCCGCTATGAATTCTCATAATATAAACCTTTTCGTCCACATCGCTGATTTCTTTGTTCTTCGCCTCTAAAAATCATAGATTACATTCTTAACTGTAATCACCCTAGTTTTCAAGGTCTAGTGAGCGCCGGAAAAAATATACGTTAAAATAGTAGGGCAAGATATATTGCGACAGTTTAACAATAATGGACGAATAGATAATATAGAATTTACGCTCAATACATTATAGGCTGCTAATTGTTTTTATGGCTAAACATGTATATTAATTACATACTTAATTATCATTTAGCGGATATCCGATTTACTAATATGACAACGGCACTGTATCAGATTTTACAATCATGACAAAACGAATATTACTCTTTATCGTAATATACATTATAGTATTCCTTCAAACTATGGCTATCGTAAATATGTCAAAATGAAATCTCATTATCATAAAATACCATAATTAGGGTTTTGAAAGTTAACTTGTGACATACAAGTGAGGTGTATAAATTAATACATAAGTATCTCAAAAAAGAGTTTAATTTCATTATTTATCATTATCATTACTTTATTTCATTACAAGTCATTTCTGTCATACAGTATTTTAACCCATAACCTATTGAATTTCTCAAAAAAAAATTTCCAGCTTCCATTAACTGTTCATTATCAAATTTCAGATATCAAGATGTTTAACGCCAACAGTTATAGAGGTTCTGGTCAGACTGCACAGAAGTGTAGGCAGGCCAGTGGCTTTTTACTGGAGCCAAAGACTTATCACTGGGTATAAGGGAGGGTTAAGATAAACTTGTCTTAATATTAATTGCATAGCTTATATGCCAAAACATTTTATTTTTTACACGCATTCTGCTACACAAACCTACCTGCATAAAGGAACTGGTTTAGGACTGATGACGTTTTCACAAGGCGGGAAGGCGTAGTTACAAATAAGTTTTTCTCCATGTCCGTTACAGCGCTCCCGTATAGGCTTTGTCGTCTCAACATTTAACATTTGGTCGAGCAGGTCCGCCGCCATCTGCTCCTGGTCCTCAAACGGGTTTGACTGGGAGAGATTCAGGAACACTGTACTGGTTCCCAACACTGATGCGCACCGGGTACCATTGTATGATATACATACGCCAGATGTTCTGAAAGAACAAAATAAAAAAATTTTCATTAAAAAAAAATCTCTTAACTATTGTCAAATATTTAACACATACAAATAATGCATTAAAATTTTGTCAGCAAACAATTAATATATCTTCAAACTACCTAACATTATATGACTTCCTAATTAAAACTATAAAATGGTCATATAATTACTCTGACAACAGTGTTTTGACTAATCCCTTATTGTCTTCTGCTACTGGGAACTACTTCTACTACTACTACTAGTACTACTTGTAACTACTAAAACAGCCATATTACTTATTTTGTTACAATAGGTTAAATATGGAATAGTATTTTATTAACTTGACAAAATTTTGATGTTGCGGGCTCCTGTTTCTCCACAAGTCATCCCTCAGTTATTTTATCTTCATAGAATTCAATAAAATTCAAACAAGGAGGACTGATGTGTACATTATAAGTTATTCATCTCCAACTTCACAATCATTAACCCATGTCATGCTTTATGTCTTAAATGGACTTATAGCCATCTGTCAATCTGGACAAAACCAGTCACCAATTTCATAGAAAATTTCAAAATATGAACTGACAAAGATTAGTGGACAGAGCTTGGTCTACACTGGTTTGCATTATGGGTAGATTCAGTTGCTATCAGTAAGGTCAAGGTTAAATCACAACAACTGCCTAATAAATCTACGATCAATGGGCCTTACTTTACTCTAACAGAGCTTAGTAATACTATAGGAAGGGCATCAATGACAAAAGAATTCAGTCAACAAAACTATTTTTCTGTAATATTCACCACATCTGACAATTTCTTCATTTTATAAGTTCATTGACCAATTTGTTACAAACTTTCAAAACACATCATATCAGCATTCAAATTACAGTACAAATGAGTTTCCAAATAACATGGTATTCAAATACTCAACCATTAAATTATTACACACAGGCTTAAAAAATTCAATTTCGAGGATAGTACGCAAAACAATGCTGGAGCAAAATGATGCTGAATTTAGTAGACTGTCTTACAATTTTTTTTTTGTGGGAACCTTTCATGCGGTGACAGAGTCTATATCATGAATGAATGTCTCAACTAATCAAGATTGAAGAGTTCATCGGGAAAAATGAAAAGCGCGTCAACAGTAATCAGTAACGCAAAAATTCATCGAAAAATCTACAAGAATCTGGGTACGGAACCATGACTATCGCACATGGACAACAACTTCTGCAAATGGTGTTCATTAGTAAGAAAAAATTTCATGAGTAACTTCCTGCCTGTAAAAAAAAGATAAGGGACTGGTTCTCTAGTTGTAGTGTTTTTTTAGATGATTATCGAGCTGACAAGGTTGTGCAGGTGACACAGTCTGATGTTATCAATGGAATATCAAAGATGTAAACATTGTATGGAATAAACATCAAATCGTAAGGCAGTAAATTGGGAACATAGTTCTCTCAAAACACACAATGTTTTCACTGACAAACTGGAGAGGAAAAAAAAGACTCCAGTATTCACAACAAGCATGGAATATGTATTCAGTTTCCTTATCATGAATAAGTACAAAATTATGTATATATATATTGTAAAGACTCGCATTATTTGAATATCAGAACAAAATTAATTCATTTTACAGAACGACCACACCGACTGATTGCATGGGCAAATTATTTAAATAAGTGTGAAAACGAAAAGAATCAGAACTTATAATTTCAATAATGTGTAGAAAATAGTTTCAGTGTTTATTTTAAATCAAGAAAAGAATTCTGAGACTGTTTTGCAAATTTCTGAAAAATGCCATCCTAGACTGGATACATCATTCTCTTGCAGACGTCATTGTTCGACCCATCAAAAATGCATCACGAAAAACAAAAATCGACGAAAAATGCAGTAATTTGTGCCTTCGAGGTCTTGAATGTGCCAATTAAAAAAGATTTAAAGAAACAATTTAATTATGAGCTCCGTTTCAATTTGATATTTGCTTCCGAGGGGACACACTTCTAAGCATGGTTGAAAGACACGGCACGTCTTTAAATGGATAATAGAATTATAACTCGTCTTTTGTTCATTTCAATGCATTGGCTACTATTCTTTCCATATGCACGACCAAAAAAAAAAGGAAAAATAAAAGAGAATTTACGACTGCGATAAATCATTCCAGAATAATTAATCTTGTATTTAATGCAATTAATAGATTACCTCAGGGATCTATTTATCATCTGCAAAAAAAGTATAATTTAATTACTTGAAACAAACATTTTTTTTATTATAAAGTTTCAATAAAAACAGACTGTTTACTAACATTTGCAGACAAATCCTCAAGAATTAGTCTCAATTACCTTTAGTAATGACAGAGGAGATCTCTGAAATTCCAAATGAGACTTAATACAATATAGTTGTCTTATAGATTATGTTTGTTTCGTAAAATTAGCTCGAATAAACCAAGTCAGCTTTAAATTATGCATGCCTTAAGGAAACTGGCACTTTATAAAGTTGCTATTCTGAGGAGACCTTAAATATGCTAAATTAAGGCTAAATTCTAAATTACTTAATTCAATCGAACTTTACCCGAGTACATTACTGACTTCATTAACAGACAGCTCAAAATTTCAAAACAGAACAGAAAATCTTATACCAGTCTGGTTTTGATACATGATTTTGCATGTAACTTTCCACGTTGCAGTAAGTCTGTCACTTTTACAAACCCTTACAAACTTTTAGCTTATATCAAATCAGCACTATAATATTTAAGAAACCAAAATAATTGTATTGCCAAATGATGAAAGTTAACCAACTATTACAGTGAAATAAGAGCTAAAACACAGCTTAGCTTAAGCTCTTTAATCCCAGCACATACATTCTTTTGAAAAGAAAGGTCTGTTTTGTAATCATAACATTAGTAAGAATCGTGAACTTTGTGTATATTTTTCCTAACCTGCTGTAAACACTGATATATTCAATGTATCTAAGGAAAGCCAAATGGAATCTGTTCAACTTTGATGGAGTCGAGTAAATATGTCATATATTTTATACTTTATAAAGAAACAGCTTCATTAAAAGAAACAGCTCCATCAAATCACCAGAATGTGTACTCTGTGTAACAGATATTGGAGACGAAGTTCATGCTTTTATATGATTTATGTTAACATTTCTAGGCATAATTTGAACCTTATAAAACTGGCAAAATGGGAAAATAATTATGCAAACACAGAAATATACTTAAGAATTAAATTAAAAAATGCATATTTAGTGTGATTCTTCATATATATAGCATGATTGGATATAAAATAATAATGTCAAGCTTTTCATTTTTGGACCATTATGCACAATAAATATAAATGCTGAATGTCAAACAAAACATTAAATATTAATCAATTTGGCATTCAATTTCCATCATTCCATCACTCAATAACAAAACATACAGATAACAAAAAGTCTGATAAGCCCAGCCTATCAGCAAAAGTACCTTTTATCTTTATCTGCATGTGGGGAAAAAAACTTTCAACATATGAGCTGCTGCTATCTAAGAGACATACCCTGCATTGAGGACATGGGGAGCTGATCAAGGCTTATAACAACCAATCCTGTATATCTTTTCCCTTATGTATAAAGATACATCACTCAAAATAAACAAGAAAAGGTTAAAAAATTCAAACTTTACAAAAATGTATTCCCAGTTAACGAAATTTACATACATTTACTAATCCATCAAATACTTCATATGGAAACATTGTCTGAATTATCATTTTCATATTTTCATTTATTCATTTTTGAACTTTATCAAATATGTAATATGCAAGGAAAAGAGCTATTATGAGACAGGATGTCCGGCCCTGAAGGTAATTATTTAATGACCTGAAATTCGGCTGAGCTCGAGCCTAATATTATCATTGTGAAAATTTATTCAACAGACAAATATTTTGATCAATGCCAGCCACTTATTTAAGATTAATATAACCGAAAAAATATCTTACCTAAAGAACCAAAGAAACTGTAATTTATTCTGTCCAGACTAAACAGCCTTTTCAAATGTTCAGAAATCTAAATATCTAAATAATCATAACGAGATGGGGGAATTATCCGATTTCTTAACAGTTTATACTAGAATCTAAGAAATCAATTTGCATCATTGCCAAGAATCAATATCATGAAAAAGATAGGTTGTCAAAGATATTTCAAACAATTTAAAAACCAATTTCCGAGAATAAATTATTCAGAAATAGTTTATTCTTTTAAAAAAATACAAAGATAATAGAGCTATACTAGAACGTTCAATTTGCATAGGAATAAAAATCATGCTTAAAGGCCTATTATATTTAAGAACTGCTTAAATTTTTATTTCTCAAAAACATTTAATGTTGGTACTTTTTTACAGTTTCCAAAAAAGAAAAAGTCATTTACCATATAAAAATTGTAGGAACTATATTTTACTTCTTTTTAGAACTCAATGGCAATGGTGTATCTGTAGTAAATTAGTGTAATATGTATGGAAAACAAAATACTACTTTGTTTACATTGTGCTACCTTTGCAATAAATTACTGCAATTTCAGCACTTTTAATTTTCTTCTGTTTTTAAACATGTAACATGCACTAAATCCATATTTAATTAAACATAATTAAACATGTTTGACATTTCTAAAGAAATAAAAAAATTATGTATTTCTGAGGCATAATGTGCCTTTAAAAAAAAATTGACAACTTCGAAAATTTGCTGACATCTGTCCGAATTTATCTGTACAGCCCGTATCCAGATCATGATGATGAATTAAAATATTCTAATTTGATTCGTCTGCGATTATAACGGTCATATTGATGATTTTAGTTGATTCTGGCTTTCATTCTCAGATGATGATTATTATAATATATGAGCCGTGTCATGACAAAACCAACATAGTGCGTTAAAGCGACCAGCATGGATCCAGACCAGCCTGTGCATCCGCTAACGCAAACGCACTATGTTGGTTTTGTCGTGACACGGCTCATATATGATATTTTGAGTGCTTGCTTTTAAGCATATATAG